TCTTTTTCGGGCGTGCGCAGCTTCCGCATTACTGGCAACTGCTCCCGTCTCCCATGCAAGCGCCGCCAGTATTTTCCTCCCACTGGGGTGAGAGTCCCCATTTATCTACTCACGTACGTTTTCGAGCTGCTAGGTTGGCAGGAGCTGGGGAGGAAGCAGGAGCTCACTCTGCTGCGCGGAGCTGGGCTCGAACTGCTGAAGTGTTGACCATTTCTGGCCGGCAACTTATAAGCTATGTCAATTTTTTTGTATTAAAATTATTTGTGACAATAAAGTGAACAGGAATATGAGCGAAGATTTAAACTAAGTAGTTTACAACAGACTAATTAGGTTCCTCAACAGAAGTTATGGAGAGGGGAAAACAGGGTGGCTTAAGTACAAAAACCGCAGCCTAGCACAAATTCTCCTGTCTCCTTTTCCTGCACATGACAATTCCACCATTAACTAATATATGCTGCATATTTACCACACATATAATCCTCATTTTGAAATAGTTGTCTCCTCCTTGAAATAATTGGATACACAATTTGGGGCCTGTATACATGAAATAAGGTCTCTCCTTGTATTATCTTGCCCATATGTTTATATCTGGAGGCTGGAGAGGCCTGTCTCATATCACCAATAGCTGACATACAGTGCAGGTTGACACAAGATGGGACCTTTTCCACGGTGGCTTCTGAATGTCAAGTGCTCAACCCCAGGATGTACACTAAGCACCCAGTAACTGATATTTCAGTTATTCACTAAGATCTATCTATTCCACCAGGCATTTATGAATGGGTGGACACTGTAATGTATAATGTGTGTGTGTATGTGTTTTATTTTATTTTATTTTTTTCTGGTGTACCTACTGTTGACTTTTTAAGTTTTGTACTGCTATTCATTTATACATTTATTCTATAAAATCTACATTATGTTCTGCTATTACATTTGCAAGACTAGACTCAATTCCTTGGTTTTGTTTTTTAAATACAAAACTTCTTTCTCCTTATTTTTGGTACATTTTAAGTTCTAGACAATAGCTTGGTAAAGGGGCTACAACAATTGCTTTGGGGAGCCAGTATAGGGCTTACAGGCATAGGATTATCAGATATCTCAATAGGCAGAGGAGGACATGGAGAATTGGAAAGAAGGACACACTAACTGTTTAACTTCCTTTGCATCCTGACAAAAATTACAGTGAAAACTGGAAAAAAATGTACTTAGGCCTACATGTATATGAAATTACTTTTTCCAGCATCAAAAAGACTAGTTTTTCAGTCACAATATTTTCCCAACAAATCTTTATTTTCAAGAATATATGTTAGCAATAATATAGAAACTGACGATGTGCTTTTCAAATTTCACCATAGAAATGTACAATGAGTTATGTGACTTCAGTGATCATAGATTTGAAGGGCTGGATTGAAGCCAGTTGCTGGAATCAGGAAATAAATAACATAAATCTAGGATGTTGAGTCTGTTGATGGACGATGGAAACAAAGAAGCAGGGAATTTACAAGGTCTTTCACAGACATGAAAGTCTGAATGACTATTGTTGTCAAAACAGTCCAATTTTTTTTTTAAAGAACAAGGTACTCGAAAAGCTGGACATTATTTGATTTTAAAGCTATGCTTGCTGGATGGAGGGCATGAGGATAAAATGGAGGACATGTCCTCCTTTTGCAGGACATCTGGTAATCTTGTACAGGCATTCTGAGGAAATTAAGATAATGGCACCTGGTGCAGCCCTTTCACTGAGCAATTTTCTTATCAGGGCTGGGTGATCACTCCCCACTAATTTAACGTCATCTTGGAAAGAAGAATGCTGCTGGCAGTCAGTTCTGCTAGAGGCATGCAAAATATTTTGAATTCAAAATGTGGCATTATAAGTTCAAAACATTCTGTTCTGAGTTCAAAACAGTGTGTTTTGACTTCACTATCAGTGTTTCAAAGCTATTTTAAACTTACTGGAAGTGTTTTGAGCTTGAAATAGCCTCACAAAGTTGGAATAGCTTGTCTTGAACTTGAAATGGTGGTTTCAAGCTCAGAATGGATGTTTTGAGCTTTTCCATACCCATAAGCCCTAATAGTAAAAGTTATTTTATTTAAAAAAGGGATAAAGAGAAGGAAAGTTACCTCTCCCCTTGTCTTGTTTCTCTTTTATTTTATCTCATTTTGGGATTCATTTTCAAAGTCAACTCCAAATTGGATACACTTCCCAAATAGCATATACATTTTTTCTGTTATTAATTTGGCAGTTGAACTTTCCCGTATTCTATTTTCAATATTTGCTGCCATTTTCTTTTCCATTTTAGCTACCTGAAGAATAATACAGCATTTGTACAAGTTGGAAACTCATATTGTGGGTATTGGTGAATCAGTAAAGCAGCCATCTTATTAACTATATAAATTTATCCATACATTATCAAATTGCATTTCAGAATGCATTCAGATTTCTGAAAAGCATTCTCCACTGAGAACTAAATAAGCCATCAGCCAATGAATGAGCACACATGTCTATTTTTTATTTCAGAGTCTGAAGCTGCATATGATAATAGCCCATTATTCAGAGATGCCTGAAAATAGAAGACATAACAAAAATATTTTGTTAGAGAACTGGGACTAGGAAGAGAATTACCTGCCCTGTTTACTCCAAAGTACTCCCCGCCCCCATTTTTCTCCTGACAAATCTTTTGGGGTACTGTTACATAATTTAGCTTGATCTTAATGGCTGGTAATTATTCCATTTATATTATTTTCGTGCACTATTTAGATTCTTTCATCTAGTTCATCCTCTGCTTTCTCACCTGCGATCCTTGATGTGACAATAGCCAATTGTGTTATCACAATCACCCCTAATAATTTGTTCCTTTAGTTTTCTCCCATGTTTTCTGGGCTGCCTGTACCCTCATTTCCAGAGAACTCCTAGATTGTGCCTTTGAAATTCAGTGGCATAATGGTCAATATTCAGCAAACGTGATAGTAAGCAATTTTCAGTAAAACCAAAATACAAATGGAACATAAAATTTCTGGGAGGCTTTATATATCAACTTTGACTCTTCAACCCTCCCCGAAGAACCCAAACCAATCCAAACATGTTGGCCCTCTTCATTCAGTGTCCTCGCTGCATCCTTGGACATACTGTATCCCCTGCTGTCCTCAGAGAACCATTTTCTTTAAAATGTGTCCCCCAAAGATGAAAAAGGGCCCCCAGTCCTGGCTTGTTCACAGTCTCCAAACATCCACATCTGTGTCTCATCTGTATTCTGTTAATATTGTGCGTTGGTCTTTCCACTTCCAGACTAACTTGTGTCAGTCACTTTGATTTGTAAAAAAGGCAGTTGCCTACTTATTATCAATAGCAAGGTTTCTATTTGTGAATATATTTCCTGCCCTCTTAAAACAAATCTCTTCCATCTTTCAGAAAACCCTGAACGTGCTGCTCTCTGTTTTGTGTCTGGGATTTGTATTGGACTTCTCTTGACCTTGTTGGCTTTCGTTGTTCAAATCTCCTGTCAAACTGATTGCAAACAGTCGTCAACCCAAAGGCCATCATGCAACAGTGACAGTAGCTGGAGCGACAGTGACTCAGATACCACCTCGGACCTGTCTGTGCGACGGCAACGCCAGTTCGAAAGGACTTTGAACATGAATGTCTTCACCTCGGCTGAGGAGCTTGAGAGAGCACAACGACTGGAGGAAAGGGAGCGCATCATCCGAGAGATATGGATGAATGGCCAGCCAGACATGCCAGGGACCAGGAGCTTGAATCGCTACTATTGACGGCAGCAAATAGGAACAAACTCATGGCAGTCCTTTTTCATCTTTGGGGGACACATTTTAAAGAAAATGGTTCTCTGAGGACAGCCTGCTGGGAAGAGGACTGAAGTCCTACTGTAGAAAGGCAATATTTTTACTCTACCTTTTACTTCACCCTTTCTGTCTAAGGACACCCTTTTTCAACATTTTGCACAGGTTGCAAGGTTGGGGGAGGGGGGCAAGTTTGTTTCTTCCCAGTGCTTTGGTTGCTGCAGATTGGAAGGGCTGATGAGTGAGGATGGGGTTACACATAAATGCACACAAATATTTCCTCCCTTTCCCCTCCCATCTAGACATACTGTAGATAAATCAGAAAGAGATGCGTTTTTAACTTCTCCTTCTTTAGACACCACTTTCGAACTGGGTCCCCAGCATGTCCTCAGGAAATAACACTACCAAACTCCCTACTCTACTTAATGTTACTGTTTAAACTTTAATTTAAAAAATGAATGGGAAACTAGCATGCTGCAAAGCAAAACAGTGGCCTCACAGGTAACTTATTTCCAATAAGGTCTGTGGTCCTCCTGTAGAAATCAGAGGCATTCTTGGAAGATAAAATGGTGGGTGGTTGCAAGTTGGTGCTTTGTTTGTTGTATGATAGACGGGTGCTTTGTGATTAGCCACGTTCACTATGGCAGACAACCAGTTTCTGAGAGTGTCCATCCCTTGCTTTCTAAATTCCAAATGTGCCCCATTGGGGCAAAAAGGTTGAGGACCCCTACTCCACCAGATCACTCTTTTCCTGCTGCTATTTGTAGTAGGATTCAGAGATCTGTTCCTCACTGTGCAGCTGATGCCTTCTGGGGAAAGTGGGCAGGGCTCTGATCAAATGAAGGGGTGGGGTATGTCCCCTTCAGCTGTGCTCTATAAATCTTCCTCTCTGCATACCCTGCAGATATGCTGAGGTTAAGCTATCCATCTCCTTAATTCTGACAATCACTGTCCTCCCATGGTTGACCACCATCTTCACTAACAACTTTTCTTGAGATGTTATTGGAAATAAAAGGGGACATACTATACATGATGAAAGGCTCGCTTTATATTTTGGAAAATGTGAGCTTTATGGTGTGGAATCTTTTTCCAAATACAGGTCTAAAAATATGAATTTTAACTTGCTTAATGTTTTAATAATAAGGAACTTGCTAGATATTATGACTGTCCTCACCAACCAGAAAAACAAATCTAAAATAAAACATGTACTATCTGAGATCTGTGAGAAGTTATGGGCAAAGAACATGAAAAGCTGAAGCAACCCCTGGCAGCATTTTTCCACGGTTCAGGAGAAAGAAAGTTTGGGGTAATGCTTGTAGGCATTCACACTTGCCCATAAGCTGTAGTTAACAAAACATCCAAGTGTGCCTTACTAGAAGACGCTGCTGACGAAGGAGGGACAGAAGCAGAAAGGCGTTCTGGTAAACAGCTATCTCGTGACTTCGAAAAATCATGGTATTGACCTAATTTCTCTTTCTTTCCCACAGATGCTTCAAAACTGGGCATTTCCACATTATGAAATCAGCTTGCTAGTTGCACATTCAATAATACATTGTGTTATTTAAGACTGTGTTTTAAATCTTGCTTCGGTGGCAGCATTTTTTTCCTGACAGCTCAGGGATAGAATTCTTCCCTCAACTCAAGTTCCCACATTCCCCTCCTTGTCCTTGTTTTCTATTCAGTATTTTTCCAATCAAGAATTTTATATTATTATAGGAGTTGTGCCAGTTTTGAATACTTTGTTAACAACCTCAAAATGATTGCCAGGATTTTGTGCCTTCTTATATGTGTGTATATATGCCATTTGAAAGTACTGATTAAAATTGTTTTCTTATAAACTGTGAAATAGTATTTTATATAGTTTAGCCCCTCACATAAGAAATTAAAAAGAAAAAAAAAGGCTGTACTTTACAAGTAGAAAATGGAACCAAGAACAGTTAAGATTCTGCCCTATGCAGATAAAATTCTGCTTGCTTCATATACATATATTTTAAATTCAGATCTTCAGTTTTGGGTAGATGCTTTATTACACTGAAGTGCAGCACACCTTCCCCATATTTTAAGCTGCTACAACTGTAGAAACAGCAAGATAGTCCTGTAATAGCAGTTCAAAGACAATGTCCTCCTAAATTTCTGAAAATTTGGAGCAGACTGTCCTGTGCTTTAAGTGTATACATGTCATATATAACTCAAACCATTGGAAGCGTTCAGCTGCATTTCACACACCCATCCCACATGTGGTATTTTTGCTTAATTCCCTGATGGATCCCAATGATAGTGTTTATTGCTTTTCTTCTGTCAGCCCTGGTATTAATACTCTGATGAGAATTCCAGTGAACTAATGAGGCATGATTTCCCCTTCCTGAATCTACAGTAATATGCACACACATGAGAAAAAACACTTTATGGGCTCTTTGCATTTCATAGGGTTGGATTTTTCTGCAGTCTGTTGGAGAAGTGCTCAGCTATTTCTAGAAATTAGTCTTTTATTATTCCAACATTCTTACTGTAGTTTCTATTTCAACAAGAATTTGGTAACTTGAGTTACCAAACTCTTGATATCAGTCAGAAACTATGCAAACATATTTTGTTCAGCCAATGGTTGGACTAAGGAATAAGGGCCAGCAATCCTTATCTCCCTATCCCAACAAGGAAACTATGGAAACAATATAATGTTTACAGGATGTTTTATTCTTATGGAGAGCTCCATAGTACACAAAAATGCCCTCTATTTTCTTATTCTGGTAGGTAGGGAAAAAGCTTTGTTAAATAATAACAATATGAACCAATTTCCTTCCTGTTAAAATACTATTTAACAAAGTCTGCACTTCTGTATCTGATTTGTTAGAACAAAAAGTAGACAGGGATAAGGACATGCTGTAAAGTGTCCCATAGTTTCATGCCCATCAAAATTGGTACATTATATATTATATTGCAGCTAGATAATGCAGGCATTATTAACCTGCATTTATCAATAGCAGTAATATAAATCACTTATTGAGCCTAGCTGCTACTTTTCACCCTTTTCTGGTTCATTCTAATTTTTCCATATACACATTAGAGAAGAAGATATCTGGATTTCTTGCAAAGGACACCAACAATATAAATTCACAGTGAATTCCAGCTTTCTATGATTAACCAGATGTTATCTTAATAGCATACATGACGTGGTTTAGATAACCTGGATTAATAGCTTTACTTTAAGATTAAAACTCGGTGTGTTTGGGGGAAGAATTTTCCTATTTCTGCTACTGTATCCCAGCATAAGGAAAAAATTCTTCTTTTGTTCACCTTCCATTCAGAGCCCAGGGGAACTTAAAAGAGCTTAGGCCTGCCCTAGTCCCAGTCAAAGCTTTTTCTGTGGGTATTTGTCGATGACAAGTTCTATCTTCTGCTCTAAAAGCAAACTAGCTTAACCACCATTATTTATAAGCTGTGCCTCATGCAATCCCCGGGCTTGGTCCATAAACAAATGCCTAAATCTGAGAACAGAACTCTGAGAAAGAGCTTCCTTTGTTCTAGAGTAAAAATATTCAATAATAAGTTTAAAATGAGAGTATAAGATCACTTCAATTTCCACTGATGCTTCAAAAACATAGGAAATTAGAATATGAGATCAAGAGATTTCACATAACATAATCTGTAAAGACTTTCTTCTATGGGTAAAGAAGCCAAGTGACAAAATGTGCATGACCACATCATGCAAACACTGTAACATCTATCAGGACATAATTATGTAATGGAGGTATTTGTGCCATGACATCATGGCATGTATGTCATCATTTTGATGCCAATGTGGTTTGGGGGGATGCCACAGTTTTGCTCAATCTCGTAGCTAGGATGAACGTATAAGTGAGGTAATAACACCACAATTTACATTGGTCTTTCAAGTCATCCTTGCTGGAGAGGAATGTGTTCAAGTAGATGATTCAAGAAGTAAAGGTTCTTCAATTGCTTGACAGAGAGGTCACTGATGAAATTATGCCTAATGCATCTGTACAAGGGTTAGTACTTCTGCCAAATTCTTCCTATTGTGATAATTGTGCAAATGCAGAGCAAGAACAACTCAAAATCTGACAATCTAAAACATTGTTTACTGAAAACACAGAAAAGATGGCAATAATGAATTGGCAACCAAACATTTAAAAAATGGTTAGCTACGTAGTCTTTGGAGAGAAAACCTATAAAGATTTCCACTGAGGGGAGTGAGTAGCAACCCTTAAATTGAGAGTTCTGCTACACCTGAAGTTCTGCTACACCTGAGAGTTCTGCTACACCTACTTAGTGAAGCTCCCGAATAAGGGTCCAGTTTTATGTCATCTTCACCATTAATTTTAAACTAGGATTGGAGATGCCTTGATTTAAATTCCCATTTCCCATGACCAAACACCATAGAAGAAGCAGACATTACCAAATATGTAATATATATTCTATGTGGATAGGGGGGCAGGGTATCATACATTATATATGAGTTAAGTATCTGCTAGAGAGGCAAAGAGAAAAAAAAAAGAGGGAGAAAGCAATTTGCAATTTATCTCAAATTTCTTCTACATAATTCTCTGAGGCTGCAATTTCATACATGCTTACTTGGGAGTAATTCATGGGAGTTATTTTGGAATAAATATTCATGGGAAAATCATGGTTACTTTCTCTCTCTTTCTTCTTCTTCTGCCCATTTGCTCCAGATTTTCTTTATTTCTTAATTTTTTCCTGTGCATCACAAAAGTGATGTTTTTTGCATATTATTTTTTTCTTTTCTACCTGTTTTGCTTGATTGCACTTTTTATTAGCTGGATACATACCCAATCTTTCTGAGCAGGATAGAATCCCAATTCATGGGAGTTATTTTAGCAGAAAAGCAATGTACAATTATGTTAAAGAAATACCCAGGTATAAACTAGAAGTTTTCCAGCAATTCTCCCATTCCTCATCCACCTGCCTACCATTATAAATCTTATCTATAATGCTCAATATATACTTCCAAAGCCCAGGAGAGCCACTTTCTCTGGAAGAAACATCCAAGATTTTGACCTGAGTAATGTCTGGTCTAGGCAGTCTCAAATAAAATTGGCTTCTCTTCCCAAGTCCCATA